TGTCTGTCTGTGTCTGTCTGTCTGTGTCTGTCTGTCTGTGTCTGTCTGTCTGTGTCTGTCTGTCTGTGTCTGTCTGTCTGTGTCTGTCTGTCTGTGTCTGTCTGTCTGTCTCTCTCTCTCTATCTATCTCTCTTTCTCTTTAAGTTTATCTTTCTCTGTCTTTCTCTCTGTAGAGCGCGCTCTGAGCGCGCCTTTCTGGAGCGTATGTCAGAGCGCGCGCCGACACAGCCCAGCCACAGAGTTGACAGAGTTCAGGGGCGGCCAAAAGGAGGAGGACAGGAGGAGGACAAGGCCTGGACACAGAGCCCAGCCACACAGCCCAGCCAGAGAGTTGGCAGAGTTCACGGGCGCGGCCAACAGAAGGACAACAGGAGGGCAAAGCCTGGACAAAGAGCGCGCAGAGGTTAGGCACAGAGTTGACAGAGTTCAGGAGGACAAGGCCTGGACACACAGCCCAGCCACAGGGTTGACAGAGTTCAGGGGCGGCCAAGAGGAGGACAAAAGGCAGAGCCCAGCCATGCAGCCCCGCCACAGACAGAGTTCAGGGGCGCCGCCAAGAGAAGGACAACAAAGGAGGGCAAGGCCCGGCCACAGAGCCGGAGCGGCCAAGAGGAAGACAGGACAAGGCCTGGACACAGAGCCCAGCCACAGAGCCCAGCCACAGAGTTGACAGAGAAGAGGAGGACAAGAGGAAGACAAGGCCTCGACGCAGAGCCCACACAGCCCAGCCACAGAGTTTACAGAGTTGACAGAGTTCAGGGGGCAAGGCCTGGACACAGTGCCCAGCCACAGAGTTGACAGAGCCTGGACACAGAGCCCGGAGGCCACGAGGAGGACAAGTGTGACAAGAGGAGGACAAGGCCTCGACGCAGACAGAGTTCAGGGGCGCGGCCAAGAGGAGGACAAGAGGAGCACAAGGCCCAGCCAGGAGGACAAGGCCCAGCCACAGAGCCCAGCCACAAGGCCCAGTCACACAGCCCAGCCACAGAGTTGACAGAGTTCAGGGGCGCGGCCAAGAGGAGGACAAGAGGAGGACAAGGCCCAGCCACAGAGCCCAGCCACAGAGTTGACAGCGTTCAGGGGCGCGGCCAAGAGGAGAACAAGAGGAGGACAAGGCCCAGCCACAGAGCCCAGCCATAGAGTTGACAGAGTTCAGGGGTGCGGCCAAGAGCAGGACAAGAGGAGGACAAGGCCCAGCCACAGAGCCCAGCCACAGAGTTGACGGAGTTCAGGGGTGCGGCCAAGAGGGGGAGAAGAGGAGGACAAGCCCCAGCCACAGACCCAGCCACAGAGCCCAGCCACGGAGTTGACAGAGTTCAGGGGTGCGGCCAAGAGGAGGACAAGAGGAGGACAAGGCCCAGCCACAGAGCCCAGCCACAGAGTTGACAGAGTTCAGGGGCGCGGCCAAGAGGAGGACAAGGAGGACAAGGCCCAGCCACAGAGCCCAGCCACAGAGCCCAGCCACAGGGCCCAGCCACAGAGTTCAGGGGCGCGGCCAGTGAGTGTGGCCAGCTCTTTTCTTTCCAAGATAGAACCCCAACAGTAAACTGCTTGGGGAAAAATAGAAGCAACACACATGTTGCAACAAAACTCACATGTGCTGAGTCGATCGGTGGAGTAGCTGCTCGCTGAATGTTCACACACTGCTTGCAAGGTCTCCCCAGCAGATCGGCAGGCGGATAGTCTCATGTTCTTCAAACACATTACAAATGGTGTGCCGTATATTTCCAAGTCAACTTGAATCCAACAGTGCTGTCAACGTGGAACGGCGGACCTATTTGTTGTGCCTTGCCTTTTCTGCCAGGCCCGCCGCATTACTCAGGGACTTCGGGATCCTCCGCTGCTGCCCACAATTATGCCACCACCACAGGCGCGAGAAAGCGACCCTTCAGTCAACCCTGGGTCAACTCCTCTCCTTTTTTCATTCAGAACCAGGAAACATGAATGATTCAAGATGAATGATTCAAGTGACTGTCCTGCGAATAATATCGAAACATTGGCTGTGGGGTGAGAATATCCGATGAATATCCTCGAAAGTTTGTACTTGGACAATTTGCTGTCAAGTTGCTTCCAGAAGAAAAGAATCAGATGTGGTGTTGCGTGGTACTTGGCATGCAGCAATGCACCACGTTGGATTAGAGCGACTCTGAACTCCAAGTGCCTGCTAGGTGGAACTTTGGGAATCTCATGCCTTTGTTCTAGAACCCTGTGGCGGTTGTTTGCCGGGCTTTGAATGCATGGAGGAGCACCAATTCAGATAGCGCATGTCGGAGCTTTCGTCTTCACGTCTATATTTTATGTTGGAACGCTGGTGGACAGTATGGAGTGAGCGTTTAATTTGTAGGAAGAAGCTCCTATGGTGGACCGTTTGCAACGTGAGGCGAGGCAAAGTAACTGATCTTTACATGCAGTCTTTCAAGAAGCTGTGAGAGAAAAGACGCCCTTTGATACAATCCAAGCAGACGGAATTGAAGCGCGCTTAACGCAGGCCGAGCTGAACCTTGTCTATGATGAAGACGGTGGCGTTAGTACAAAACTTACAACATGTGGAAAGACGATTAAGTTGGCCTGGCTTTGACTTTTCATCCTTCCAAGGCTTAGAAAAAATGTAAACCATGTTGCAACTCCCCAAATTGGAGAACAAATTGCTCCACTTCCCAATCTACAGGTGATCCAGAAGGAGCAAAACGAACTGTATTTCGAGCGATGTGCCGTCCAATCTGTGGAGACGGTGTGGCCGGGTCCTTGGCTCTGAGATTTGATCTTAACATTTGCCGCCACAAGGCCAAATGTCACGTGGAGTTCATGGAATTTATCATTTTTTTAATTGATATTTTATGATATGTCGAAAAAGAATACAAGCATTGCAGCATTGTCTCTATGGTGCCGGATTGTGCTCTCTACCTTGCATTTCTGCCCAAGGCCCAGCCAGGGGAGCAATGTGACGATGGCAACTTGCGCTCAATGGACGGCTGCAATGGCCTTTGTAAGGCGTGTTTGAAAGACTGTCCAAGTTCGTAACTACCAGAGATTTACTGTATTGACAAATTGTTACCTTGTGAGGTGGAGCAAGGCTTTGAGTGCTCCAACTTGGCCGGCAGCCCTAGCAGCTGTTGGCCAAGGTGCGGATGCGGGTGAGCTCTGAAGTGCCCGTTCAAGAAAAGTGTCTCATAGATTGACCGAAGCATGGTAAGTCAAGGCCACAATGTTGACGCTGGAGGATGAAAGCTGGAGATGTGGGTTGACTATTCAATGAAACCGTTCAACACGTCCAACATAGATTTTGAGTTGGCAGTTTGTGGTAGGGGGCCAGAGTTCTTCCCTGGTCCATCAAGCAACAAAGAATGCAGCAGATAAGTGTCGTCGAGCTTGGCCTCTCGCTGTATTGCTTGACTCCAGGAAGCACAAGCTGCGGCTTATATTGATCCATCCCTATATGACCTGTATCATATATCCGCATGGAGTCATGGAATCTCGAAACATATAAGCTAGCTTTGCCACGTCTTGCATTGCACTCCGGAATCTTGTCGTGAGTCGTGCTAGGCTCTGTGATGGCAACACTGGGTTCCAAAGTTGGTCTGGCAGGAGTCGCCGTGTTTGACACAACGTTCAGTCATTTGGGCTGCGTTTGGAGTCTTGATTTGATTTTTGAATGTGGTAGAGTCGGCTTTCTCTATTCATGCAGTGCAGAGTCTCTTTGCAGGAAAGGTGGCTATTTTCCTGAATATGGCCTGAGCCTGATGCAATTCATTCGTGTTTGATCAGGATGTATGGTTGTAAGCACATGAAGACTACTTGGTGGGTGCATGTTATTTGGCATAGTGTGCCCCATCAAAGGGCAAACAGCGGTAGTATTGTTATCATTGTTGCACGTTTTCAAGATTAGTGATTAGTGTACTAATATCTGAACCGGTCAATATGTAGTGTAGACTCTTGATGAATAAGATAAACCCAATTGGATTGCAGAACCTCTTCACACGTTTTTTTAAACGTAATCAAGAGTCTCCTTGTTGATATTGCCATTTGACCTCAATGCATTTGGTGGGACTGTCAACGCTTCATGCCCATGTGGAGAAAAGGCGCTGCTTGCTCCAGGGCCAGGCTCAATCGAGAGCCCAACAATCGCATTGGTAGCGCGGCAGGTTCAGTACCGCAGCTCCTCGGCCCACTGACCTCATGATCTTGGGCAACCTCTACAAGGGCTTTGAGGGCGCAGACGAGTGGGATGACGCTGCCTTCGGCTTTGATGGCGCCAGGACAAATGGACAAGGATGAAGATGATGATGAGCCCTATGGCCCTATGACTTCGGTGATGACCTCAGAGGACGGTGACCTGTGGAGGGGACCGAATGCCGGCCTGAATCAGTTTGGTTCCTGCGACGTGGGCGCAAAGAGGCTTTCAAGTCATGCTGGGACGGCTCAACAGTCTCTGTTTTGCGGCAAGCAGCGCTTTGCTTCGGCTTGCCAAGTGGACGAACGACGCGCGTATTTGCAACCCATGTGCCCACGAAGCGCTTCTAGTAAACTTCAGTTGACAAGAACGCTGGTGGAAGGAGGGCGCGACGGCAAGTGCTGAAGTGTGAGCTGCCTCAGTGCGGCAGACTGGAAGGCCTTTGTGGGGCCGATGCGCGATTGGAATTGGGCTCATGTGAGGAGTTGGAGGGCGACGCCAAGTTGACCTTCGCGACGCACTTGATCTTGCGGGTGCCTCAACGAGCCCGGCTCAAGAGCCAGATGCTTTGTATGTTTTGCACGCCCAAGTCTGTGGCCAAGCAACCGCTTGCGGGCAATGCTTTTTTGCCTTCGCTACATGCTGCTAGATGTCACGGTCAATAAGCTGTGTCGGCTGAGGGTGAGGTCATCTCAGTCATAGGATTGGGCGGTCACGTTGATGACATTTTGGCCAGTTCGCGCCAAGAGAGCATCCTGTCGGAGGTTGAGGAGTCTCTTTGCTGGGAAGTAGATGGTTTGTTTGGTCGCCCGGGGCACCTTGAGCCAGAGCCACTGTGCCACTGATGTGAACCTCACCTAAGTCAAGCAAGACCATTAGGAGAAGATGGGCTGTGTCCGAGATCGGCAGAGTTCCGCTCCGTCACAGGCTCCTGGCAATGCCCTGACATTGCTGCGGACGCCGCTTGGTTGAGAAGGCGCGCGATGACCCGACCTACCGTGACCTCGCTGAAGCAAGCTCGGTCCTCCAGTATGTCAAATGCGGCGGCGATCAGCGGCAACGATCGAGCTTGTGGGCGCTATGGGGCGAGGGCCAAGGAGGCTACATCGTGCTAGCAAGCTGATGAAGGAAGCTGGCGCCTCCTTGCTGGATTGGAGAATGCTACCGGCGTCGGCGTCAGCGAACTTGGGACCAACTTTGTCGGCTGCACGCAAGGCGAAGTGGCCAATCGTGCTCTATAGATCGCTGCGCGCTTGGCGAAATCATATTTCGCCATTTGGCCTGTGACCGATGCTTTGCGGCAAGCCTGTCGCAGCTTGCGTTGGGTGCCTACTGAGGCCATGCTGGTCGACGGGCACACGATCCACGAGTCAGCCCGGTCAAGTCACGCGACCCTGGCGACGAGGACGCCGAAGCATGGAGACCAACGGCAAAAGAAAAGGATTGCAGTGCAATGCCCATGACACGTTCCATGTCGTGAATGCAATTGACACGTTGGGACTGTCAACACTTCATGGGGACTGCGCCACTTGAGATCCAGGGCCAGGCTCCATCGAGAGCCCAACAATCTCAGAGTCTACATTATGTTGCTTAGCGTGACAATGACTTGATATGCGTGGCCAATTAAGTCTATGCGCGCCAAGTCTTGTGTCAATCGGCAGAACAACTAGTCTGGACCATTCTTATCCATTCTTCATTTCACTCACGGCAGGGGAGGTCTTTGAACTGCCGTTTCGGTTTTTGTCTTCAAGTTCTTCTGCCGAGGTGCCGTGGAATTTGCACAGATGTCGTCATTGGGCGCCACTTGCTCTGTGGGCGTTCCATTGGAGTTCAAGGCAAGCTTCCACAGGTTTGGGCTGGGTGCGGTGCTTCGCGCTCCTCAGCCCCGTTTTTGCTCTTTCTTGTTCTATTGACAGAGTTTCCAGGAACTTCCTTTTCCTGTCGTAGGCAAGTTGAGCACTTTCGCTCCTGAAACGTCAGTCGGAATACACGATTGCAGAACCACAAGAACCTTTGCCTAATGACGGCAGGCGCCTCCGGTCACAATCTTAGCCAATGTGCAGCCAGGTCATTGCTTTACAAAAAGAACAGTCCACTCCATGTCAGCAAAGATTGAAGTTGGGACAAGGATTGCGTGATGCTTTCATGCTTGGAATACTGTAGGACGACGGGAAGTCTTCATCATGTAGTTTTCGGATGTTTTTTCTCAATTGTTTCAACACACCACTTGGCTTTGGTACGGCGCGCCAAGGCATGGCCGAAAGTCTGTTTCCAGTGGAAAGATTCGTTGTGCCCTCGGACTTGTGTTGAATGACTGGAAAACATACTGTCGGGCCAAAAGTTAAGGTTTAGATGTTAGATTGATTCAATTCATTCTATTCTACCATATTTGTTCATATATACCTCTTTGTTTGAACTGAGGGAGACTTATCCTCCTGAGGGTATCACAAATGATTTGTCCAGAGCCAAGATGAACAAGTTGCCATTCAAACAACACCCTTTGAGTGTAGAAGCCCTTGCGACGCACGCGTGCGTGTTTCACTTATAACTATTTCTTTCGATATCAATTCAGGGCCCAAGATGTCAGTATGCGCTGCCAATCGCTGCCAAACAGATCTTGGCCTCAGGGGTCTTTGCCCTGTGGACAAGACAAAGGAGACGCTGCTCAAATTCGTCTTCGCACCACCAGGATTGGGAAGACATCCAATTGAACGACAAGCAAAAGGTCAGAGTCAGCATTGTTATCATTGTTCCAACTATTCCGGAAACAACCACACATGACATTGACTGAAAGTATGAAAGTGTCTGCGTGTTCAGATGCCAGCCCAAATCAAGTGCCACCAGAAGTCTTTCAAGGGCTTGCCTTAGTTGTTTTGGAAGTGAAGGCCAACATTCAAAAGACTTTTCCAGAAGCCTTCCCAGTGGCTGGTTATGGACTATTGAAGTCCACTGGTTCCAGCGCCGCAAAATGTGCAGATCCGGCAACGGTGCAATGTCAGAGCTACGAGATGGAGTATGTGGGCCGGGGAACCAATTAATGGCAGCCAGTGGCGGTGTTTGTGGCCTGTGAGGTGTCAGGCCGCTGTGATTGATCCACGGTTTCATAATTAGACGAGTTCATAGCATGACTTCATAGATCTCAATCAATCCTGATTCTCCGTAGCTAATTATTGCAGTCGATTGCCTCAAAACACGTGGCCAAACCCAGGACAGGGTATGGACTGCAATGCAACGCGTACCTGGCAGCCTCCAGCCATCAAGTCTCAGCCCTGAGCAAAGCTGCATGTGATACAGATTGTGGCCGACTGGTTCTCAATCATGAAAAGATACTATATAGCAGTTTGTGTGCCCGTAAAGATTCAGCTGTGGTGCGAAGGGGTAGTGGATACTCCAGTGGGACCGGTGACAAGTGTGCACGGGTAGCTTGACAGTCAACTTTTTCAGAACAGAAAAGAGGGTTCCGAATCACACTGCAATGTTTGCTTGAGGTGTGCACTTGATTTCTGGTGGCTAGCGCTTGCAGTTACGATTCATCATATCATAGATCATCACACCCCAAAGTGCCACACAGTACATCATACATTGCACTGGAGCACAACACAAATAAACACATCGCATCGCCACATCACAAATCACCACATCAGAAATCGTCATGTTACACTTCCCTGATCACCCCAAGTCACCACACACCATAAACCATGGCATGTCATATCGTCTCGTCATCAGACACCACAAAGAAATACATTTCCTGCGGTCATTTTGAAACTTCCGCGGCCGTCCCTTGCTCGATTGCAAGGTGTTGGTCATGTTAATTAGAATTTCCTTTGCCAACACCTTTGCCAATCAGCCTTGCGTTTGAACGAAGACAAGTCGGTGCAAGATTATGTCAGAAAACACGTGGAAGCTTTAGAATTTGCACACACACTCTGACACTTGTATTCAGTGACTCAATTACCACGATGGG